GTTCTCATCATGGTGGTATAAGCTATCTGTAGAGTTCAGACAGACTTAAAAAGGAATTTAAATAATTAAGTTTGCTCAAAGGAAAAAAAATCCTTTATGCTGACAGTTAACATACTAGTGAGTTTAGTCTCCTACCACCAAGATGCTAGTTTTCTATATGAAAATAGAGAAATATGAGATAGATAAAGAGATTTGATTTACAAAGTAGGCTCTCCATTTTGTAGTTTGAAGGAAAGACACCTCCTTTTGTGCATAGACCTTCATTTAAGGGTTTAATCCAGTGGTGAAATCAAAAATTTTTAAACTACTGGTTCTGTGGGTGTGGCTTGGTGGGCATGGTGTGGCTTGGTGGGCATGGCAGAGGAAGGATACTGCAAAATCTCCATTCTCACCCCACTCCAGGGGAAGGATACTGCAAAATCCCCATTCCCTTCCCACTCTGGGGCCAGCCAGAGGTGGTATTTGTCGGTTCTCTGAATTACTCAAAATTTCCTCTACCGGTTCCCCAGAACCTGTCAGAACCTGCTGGATTTCACCTCTGGTTTAATCCCATCGTCTCTCAACCTCATGTAACAACTAACCTGATGCATAGCATTATGTATCACCAACTCCAGCAGGATTTCAAAAATAATTGGATAATTACAAAGTACAGGTAATCCTCGACTTAATAACAGTTCACTTAGTGACCGTTCAAAGCTACAATAGGACTGAAAAAAGTGAGTTATGACCGTCTTTCATACTTGCAACCATGGTCATGTAATCAAAATTCAGATGCTTGGCAACTGACTCATATTTATGACAGTTGAATGTCCCAGAATCATGTGATCACCTTTTGTGACCTGACAAAGTCAATGGGGTAGCCAGACTCACTTAACAACTGTATTACTAATTTAAGAGCTGCAGTAATTCACTTAACAACTGTAGCAAGAAAGGTCGTAAAATGAGGCAAAATTCACTTAACAAATGTCTCACTTAGCAAGACAAATTTTGGGCTCAATTGTGATCGTAAATAGAGGACTATCTGTAAACATTAATGGATAAAATATTCAAATAAATCATGTAAAAATCACAAAGCTTGACCATAGTACCTGCAGACCACTGTTCCCATGAGAAAAGGTATTTTGGCACCATGAATCCATTTGCCTAAGTAAAATAGATGGGAGTATTATTAATACCATGTTTTCCCAAAAATAAGACCTGGTCTTATTTTCTTTTGGCCCCCAAAATAAGCACTAGGGCTTATTTTTGGGGAAACACAATTTCAGGGTGATCAGCCCGGCTGGGAGCCTTCCCCCCCCCCCCCCCCCGGTGCACATACAAGAGCCTGCAAGCACGTGGGGACTGACAGTATCCGGCAGAAGCTGCAGCCCACATGTCCCTTGGTTGGCGCAGTCTAAGGCTGCACAGAAGACATGGAGCAGAAGGCTGGTGATCCTGACGCACAGCACAGCCTGCAGGCAAGCTGAGAGACACAAAGATGAGCATCCCATGGCCGGCCGCCATTCAGCTTTCCTGTGGCTCGCACGGCATGTCCGGATCACCTGCCTCCCCACCCCTGCCTCTGCTTGTGCCTGCTGCTTGCACAGGTACTCAACTCACCTGTGTTGTGCGGGCTGCTGCCGCCGCCAGACACCATCAGCCCACACACACTCATTGCCTATGCTGGGCCATGCCCATCCCTTCACCAGGGCTTATTTTTGGGATAGGGGTTATATTAGGCGCACACGTAAAAACAGGCTAGGGCTTATTTTCGGGTAGGTCATATTTTCCAGGAAACATGGTATTCTGCCGTAAGAGGCAGACGAGAAAAATCAGATGGGCAGAGGACCCAGTTTGTGGGGGCAATAAGCTGACTTTGTATAAATATACAAAAGTATGAAAGTTATTGCTTAACACATTGTAAGCCGCCCTGAGCCTCTGGAGAAGAGCGGCATATAAATCAAATTTAATAATAATAATAATAATAATAATAATAATAATAATAATAATAATAATAATAATAATAATTTTATTTCTATACCACCCTTCTCCCGAAGGACTCAGGGTGGTGTACAGCCAGTTTAAAAACACAAGACACAACAATAATTAAAAATTAAAATAATTAAATAGATTTGGCTGATTTAAAACTCTAAAAATTAAAATACCCCAATTTAAAATTATTATCTTGACAGCCCTGCCTGGCGGAACAACAAGGTCTTCAATGCGCAGCGGAACACCCGGAGGTCGGAGATCTTGCATATTTCCGGGGGCAGTTCATTCCACAGGGCTGGGGCTACCACAGAGAAGGCCCTCCCCCTGGGTGTCACCAGCCGGCGACATTTAAAAATTTAAATTTAAAAATAAAATAAAAATTAAACTGGTCAACTTTTTTTAAAAAAAACAATGTATCAAGAAAGGGCTCCCTCTATCTTCTATATACTTCTCTATCCAATAATGTTATTCATTCAGTGTCTCTCCTGGATAGGTTGCTATTTACAAAATATTTGACAGTATTATTCATGCAGAGGATGGAACAAAAGCAAGAAGCCAGAAGCCTCAACCGAGATTTGTATGGAGATTATTAGGATAATCGGCAGAAACGTTCAATGCATCTAATCCTAATGCTCTGAACACCCCAGAGATATTGCCTCATATACAGAGGCAACAAGGGTTTCGGCATCAACAGCCTGCATTGCAAATTTCTGAACATTTCTCCAGAAAAAAATAGGATCTGTCGTTCCAATTGGAAATAATCTGTGTGCATCTGCAATACCAAGCTGCATCCTTCAGGGGTAGAAAACACTAGAAACAGCTTCTGAGCTATTTCTTTTCAAGGTGAGTCACTTTAAATCACGTCCACATGGTTCTGCCCAGGGAATGGGCTATTTCATAGGTGTTGATTTTCCATGTGGGCTTGTTTATGTGCCATCAGGATATAATTAGGGCAGCTAAAATAGGCCATACAGTGAAAGCCAAAGCCTTAGCAAGTATACACAGTACTCACAGATCAGTCACTACATGCAGTTTTGAGCAGTTTTTATGTGTTATGTCGTTCTATTGAGAACCAATCTGATTTTCAGAATTTTTCTCACGTTTTTTTCTGTGTACAGGGAGCGACAAAGAAAAGCTCTCCTGGATCTAATGATTTGTTCATTCCCCACAATAGCCAGTTGGGTGTTTTATAAGCAAAATGGCTTTCTCTTACATTTGCTCTGCAGTCAGAAATATTCAGTGCATCTTGCACTTTTCAGCTGTAGCTGAAGGCTCCGTAGAGTAAATTTGGGTACAAATAGTACCAGTAACAGATTGAAGCCATCTAAGTTAATAGTCAGCACTGTATCACCATATCATCTGGCAGCAAATCCCATAAATCGTGTATTATGTTAAGAAGTTAATTCCTTTTATATATTTCACTGTGTCTTGGGATGACCTTGTGTTATGTTTTCCACACCAGGCATAATTTTGTAAACCTCCATCATGAAATATATCATTTGTGTTAAAATTCCAGTACCTTAATCTAGAAAGAAACATCTGTGTACAGTATCAAGCTTTGCACAAGAAGGTGCTGGAGAGATTCCCCCGTTCATTATCCGTAACCAGGCCTTAATTAAGTTGTTGCACACTTCTTTTAATGGGAGTTCTCTGATACTGTAATTACTAATAATTAGATTTGGCACAAGGTCTAGTTTAAAACTCATTTATGCCATCACTGAAGTGTATTATTTATTGTTATTATTATTAAATTAAATTTGTAAGCCACCCAACTCCCAACAACCTCATAAACAGCAGTGCTCTACAGATGATAAGATTTTTGGATCACAGTAGTTTTATAAAATTAAAATAAAATCACTGAAATAGATACAGAAACTCTAACCTGAAAGATCAGTAAATATGACATCAGAATGCAGCCACAGCTTAATACAGAACATTTAAAAGTTGCAAGTTTTCAGGGTCCAAGGAGTTCTGCACTCATATGTATTAAAGGGTCTGCTGCTTTCTCTTTGTTATACCATATATCACTTTATGTATTATAAAGAACTCCATAATACTGTAATCAGAAGTAAGATCTGACAGTTGGTTTTTATTCCAGTAACTTTTTCTTGTTAAAAAAAATGTACGTATATTTCTTATCCAAGATTTCAAATATATTCTGCATGGAATTCATAGGGCCCTATTTATATAGTGCTATACTAAATAATTATCTGACTACAAATATAGTAGCAGTTATGAGTGTAAATATCGAATGTTCTTATGGAAAACCATTTTTCCAAAGATGAGCGGAAATAATACTTTTATTAAATTTGTAAATAAAGGTAGTTAAAGCATAATAAAGAAACAAATCAATAGATCTAGGCTTATTTCTATATCCTTTGACTGTCAGCTCCAAATGTTTTGTCATTTTTTTTACAACTAACATGCAGAACAAAGTTGATATTTTGAAAGAACAGGACAATCGTGATAAGAAACTAATGAAACAGCAAACAGTGCCCTTGTATCAAACTGTATTGAAGTATATATATTATAAATCCCAATCTAACCTTATTTGAGAAATTTCAGCTCTAAATCTGAGAACATGGAGAGTTTTACAAGATCTTCAGCATGTCTAAATGTGTAGTGTATATTATGCAGCATAGGATCTGAGGCATAGTGGAGCTTCCATTCAGTTCTATGAGAATTTATACAGGAGACAATAAAATGACTAATCTGGAAACAACAGTTATCATAGTGATTTCCCCAAGGCCGCTCAAATCTTCACAAAGCATTCAAATAAATTGACTTGTGCATCCTTTATATATGATTAAAAGGGGCTTTTCTTGACAATCAATTTCGGAGTATATTAAGAGAATATAAGGAGTCTACTAATGAAGATCTGAGTCTGTGCCTGGGAAACATGGTTAGCATTAATGGCTTGGACACAGGGACAGCATCGCTAACTATTTTAGTAAGGCATGCATGAACTGCAGTATGTTACCGGATAAACCCATATCACCACATCTTGCAAAATCTATCAACAAAACCAGTGCCTGTTTGCAATCAAATATTTATATAGAATTAGTACATTTGTTAATTTTGTATGTAATTCTTTAATATTATCAATTGACATAACACATTACAAAAGCATATGAAACATACCAATCCTTTCTCTGTTCCTAAGCATCATTTCAACTGCTAGCTGAATACACCAAATGCCACAAGGGAAAATTGCTGCCTACTTAAATTTCAAGATCCACCCAAGCCTGCAGCCCCATTCACTCTGATTTTTGTACCCTAATATATTGGGTACAAATCAAATGTATTACTGTGGTGTCCTATTCAACACTCAATCATTTTAACTTGTCAACATTAAATGCAGCAGATTTCTAACAGAGAAGGGCAGATGATTTAAGAAAGCACCAAAAGGCATATAATATAGTGTAGCAAAGCGTGCTGGACTGATTATATGGACATCTAGTTGTCAGGCCCCTAAATATGAATGCTGATACCTGAAATGTGGACTATTTTGCAGTCCTGTTCACATATGATGACTCTTTACCACGATAGGAGTAACAGGTAAAAACATACAAAATAAAAAATACAAACCAGTAAACAGTGCTTCAAAAAAAATAGCCATTCACATATATAATTGTATATACACACACATATACAAGTGATTCACAAAAGATAAAATTTAAAAACTTCTCCCATATTAAGCTCATCTGGAAAATATTGCAACTGTATTGCGTGCTACTTCAGAATAATGGGAAGCCATTCCTTTTAAACTTTTATATCTGTGCTATCACTTGTACCAACAGATATTCAGTTTAAATGAACATCCTTCTGAGAACTACAACAAAAGTTGAGGCCAAAATATGGAATATTTTTAAAAGGTGGAAATCTCAATTCAGGATGGTTTTGCTGTTGCTGATGTTAGTTTTTTATTTGTGTCTAGGAAACCAAGCAATATTTATGCAGCTGTGCTTAGGAGTATGTCAAGAGGAGTGATAATCTGAGCTGTTTTTTATGTTCTATGCTGGACAGAGATTGTAAAAGATGAAAAGCCAGGGTCATCATGATAAACTCTAACTGAGGACCATGAAGTAGCCGAGGGGTAGAAATCAAGCAGGAAAGGGAGACCAGTGTAGCAATGGCTCAGCCCCTGTGAAAAGGCTCTAGAAGCCTAAAATAGAGATGGAAGTTGGTTAGCTGGCAGTGGGATTTAGGGCAAACATAGCTACTATGTTCCACAATGACCCAAATGCATCCTAGCTACTTTTTATTTAAAAACAGTTGTGTGCCTGGGCTTTCAGAAGCTGAGGGCTCCAAACTACTTTACCTAAAAGGCTGTAATACAGCAACATACATCAGGGTAATACAGCAGATGTCTATTAAAATAATATTCAGAGTATATCCTGCTGGTCGCCCGTTTTCATTATCAATCACTTCAAAATACTATATATTTCAAGGTTTCTTGACATAACAATTCATTCCAGAAATTATCATTCCATTGGTTGTTCACAGGGAAAATAGAAAAGTGAGCTCAAAGGGGAAATGCATCTCATTTAAATCAAGTTTAGGACATTCCAGTGGTTCTGGAAGGAAAAAATCAGAAAGGATCATTCTACATAAAGAACCACTTAAAAGAGATTTAACCAGCATACAGGTAATCTTTGGGTTATGATGAAAATTGGGACTGGGTAGGGGGTGTTGCAGGATAGTGAAAGAGCGGGAGCGACTTACTGGAGCAACTGGCAACTTTTCCTGTTGGCTTCCCTATGAAGTCAACAGGAAAGTTGCAAATAGCAATTCCATAACATGGTTCCTGGTGATGTTGTATCACAAACCAGACACCCAGAAGCTCAGATTGCAATCGTGTGTTATAAGGGTTGTACAATGGCCAAAAAGTCTTGAAGACCAGTCATATTTTCATTTTTTCAGTACCACCCAAACTCTGAACAATCACTGAATGAAGGGATATAAATGGAGGATTTCCTATATTGTGCTTGATTTTTTTTCTAACAAGTAACTGTTGGGAAAATGAACCCTTTGTAGCACTCAGGTTACCCAATCCATACCAAACATCTATCGTATTCACTCTAATCAAATCATCCATGCTGGAATGACAGAGTCTGCTTCTTCAAAATACTGCAATTAGAACATTTCCCTGTTTAATACAGAAATTTTAGTACAATGGATACTTCCAAATATGAAGAGGTCAGTAACAAAAGTAAGCATTTTCAATAAACAATAACATTTTGCACATATCCACAATATTTGTTTGCTTTGAGAACAAAGAAGTAAGGGTGTGCAATACCTAATTTGCACACCAATAGAAACATTACTAGTATAGAAATCTCAACACTGATTACATTTGCATTTGTATATAAACATGATTTGCAGGATATATTGAATAATCAAATAATATTGACATGTCACATAATAATACTGAGAGACATTTATTGCCAGTCAAGGCAACTGATAAAAATTGTAATATACTCTGGAGTCCAACAGATTAAAAAACAGAACTAGTTGCCAATAGAAGAATGGCCTGCTTTTAGTACCGTCTCATACGACATTTTTTAAAAAGCTGTTGGGAGTGACCATGATGATTCTTTCGGATGGTGGATCGATTCTGGCTCCAGAGTCAGTTCTGGTGGGTCACAGGCAGATCAGGGTTTGATGCATCTATGTGGATAGATAAAGCTGCTAGAACACAACAATAAAGAGTGAAGAAAATACAGTGAAAAGTCATGCCAAACAGATAAAAAAATCTACCATTTTTAAGATCAAGATTTATGTGCCAAACCCCACCATTTATCCATTCCTGTTGTTACTAATTAATTTCCTTTCAACCAGTTTGGGATGAGGGTTGAGGCAAACTACTAAAATAGTTTTAAGTTTCTGCAACAATATTTCACTGCCTGCTTGATTTTTTTTAAAAAAATGCACTTGCAAGCCACACTTCACTGATATATGTTTTGCTTTCTGATCAATATATTCTGTCCAGCCAGTCACTACAAAAACATCAGTAAAACATCATTTTGCCAGACTGCAAAATGCAAGAAGAAAAAATCAAACCATTCACAGCTCCTATGAATTAACTCACTCTAGAATAGTGTTTCTCAACCTCTGCATGCTGCCAGGAGAATTTTAAGAGCCACACATCTTAAACTTGCAGAGTTGGGAAACACTGCGCTAGAGCTTTTGAAAATCACTTCTGAACTCACACTAGAGAGCTCTGATAGTTACAACAAGTCTCCCTGTTATTATACATTGTGATAGTGAAACACACCAGTCAGACTTTTAGCTGTACAATTTGGGATGAAGAGCCTTTGAATGGTGTGGAAGTAAGAATGTATTTCCAGAGAAAAATTGGAGAATACAGGAACCATTAGCACAACTCAGGTGACCCTGAGGACACAGATAAACCTCCAAGTGCTTCAACAACTCTCTAAAAGGATGCAAATGACCAGCTGTCTGCAAGGAATATAAATCCTTCCATTCCGCATCATCCAGTCAAAGCTGAAGAAGCTCTTGGATGAGAAGTAGCCTTGGTAGTACAGTGGTTTAAAGCACCCTGTTATTAAGACCAGCTGCCTGCAATTACTGCAGGTTCGAATCTCGCCAGGCTCAAGGTTGACTCAGCCTTCCATCCTTTCTAAGGTAGGTAAATTGAGGACCCAGTTGTGGGGGCAATAAGCTGACTTTGTATAAATATACAAAAGGATGAAGGCTATTGCTTAGCACATTGTAAGCCGCCCTGAGTCTCCGGAGAAGGGCGGCATATAAATCAAATTTAAAAAAAAAAAAATTAGAAGTAAAACGTGTTCAAAGAAAAAACAAGAAAGTCCAGTTGCCTCCTGAAAAAGCACCTTTGGGACAACCATGTCCTGGATGACTGAGAATCTCTACAGACTTCCTGTTTTATGTATTAATATATCCAGGGTTGTGCTTGTTTTGTGCCCAGTTGAAAAAACTGGATTTTGTAGCCAAAATAATCAAAATTCTATGATGAAAAGGGTGAGGAACTATCTGCAGTCTTCCCTGCTCCAAAGATCATTCAAAAACATCTACTGTGCATGTAAAAAGCAGCATAAGTCCCTTGTTGAATCTACTTTACAAATAGTAATAGGATTCAGACTAAAGACCATAAGTATCTTCTAGGCAGTGTGAAACAATTTGTCTGCCAAGAGAGTGAGACAAGATGGAAGAAACTCTTCAGGTTGTTGGTGAGGCAGCCTAACCTATCCTCGGTGCCTATCCATATCACAGGAAAGGGATCAAAGAGAGAACTAGCAATGTATTTTTTTTAATCCATTGAGAAGAAAAGTCAAAAGATAGGTCAAGATCATACAGACAGAGATAAAAGACCATATATGAATTCAGTATCTTCATAATTACATCACTGAACAATGAACAAATGCAAGCTCAACTCCTAGGTCCAATATTGTGAAGTACTTAGATAAACTATCATCCTGGGCCCCACCAGCTGACACTTCCTGGGTACAATAGTATCCAGAGCATGTCCTTCTTGCTGTTCAGGTAGGGCAAACATAAACTGGGGAGAGACAGTTTCATAAGTAAACTAGTCCTAAACTATGAAGGGCTTAGCCTATCTCTTCTGGCCAGATCTTTATAGGCTGATGGCTCCATCTTAAAGGCCAGAAAGCTGGATTGCTGGGAACCTTGGTTTCAACATGCTGAAGGTCAGGTTTGTTTGCAATAAAGCCAACCACAAATTGATGGTGAATGAGATAGCAGACTTTGGGGGCACACATTTCTGAAACCTGGTCAGAAGAAGGCAATGGACGGTGTCACTTTGTCTAAAATCTGATCAGCTATGTAACAAACCCTTTATCGGATTTGAAGAAAGCCAGGAATGGGGGTGGCCAAAGATTCTGCTCTCGAGATTCTGAGGTGGGAGTGCCTATCTGTTATGCTGGAATGCAGAGAAATTTGGAATCTTACTGATATATAAGCCATCCTGCTGCCCAGCAGGCTTCCTCACCGACTGCTGGAATTGGTCTCTGGACTGGTGTGGAGAAGCACTTATCTTCTGATGAGGGACTTCAACCTCCTACTTTGGAAACTGGCTCCAGTAAGGTCTGGGAGTTCATGGCCTCCAGGACAGTCATGTGTTTCTCTCAGGTAATCTCAAGAGTTAATAAAGATGGGTAGTCATACATTAGACCTCATCAGCAGATCTGGTGATGGAGTAATTGTCTACTTCCCATAGCTATAGCCATTTATTTGAATGGAGGGGGCAGGGGGGGGGTGTTGCAGGAAACCACCCAAAAATGGCAAAAAAAAAAAATAGTGAATCATGGTCATGTGACCACAGAATGTTGCAACCAGTCAAAAAGCTGACCCACCCAATGTACAGTCATGTGACTGCAGGGAGCAGTGTGATCATTTATGATAGCCAGGTACGCGTTATGGGCCATAAAGCACCCATTCCATGGTCATCATAACTTCAAGTGATTGTAAAATGACCCATCTTTAAGAAAGGATTACCTGTATCCAAGACATTTAAAAAAGGGAAAAAATAGACAGGTCCATATAAATAGTATATCATGACATTTAATTAAGGTTTTAAAAGAGAGAGAATTGTAGATTGACGCTTTCCCTTCCACTATAGAATGAGGGCAGCATCTTCAGTAGACTGACTATTACTATCTAAATTCAGTCAAAATTCAGCAAAACTTTCCATAGATGGGGGAGGGAAAGGGCCTATGACAGAGGAAGATTTGTTGCTGCATGTTTAAGAAAGAAGCTAAATTCATCACAATGACAGGGCAGAGTGTTGGCAGAGATTTGAGCTATTTATTCTTTTAGGAAAATCCTATAAAGAATGACATGAGGAAGCCTCTATCTGCAGTCTTGTTCATCACGTTGGTGAGGAGTCTGATAACAGATGTATGCAGTAGCATGATTTAGTGCCGGGAGCTGGCCCCTGATGTGTATTAATACAGCAGCAAAGCGGAACAAGCTTCTCTTCATCACTCATCTCTATAAAAGAGGTGGAATCCGAGATGGCCTGATGTTAGGCAGAGCAAGCCCATTTGTTCTGCTGACTGATGGAGCCAGCTCAGGCTGTGTCCTTCACCTCTGTGGGGCACTCAGGTTGCATAAAGGAGTTCACTGAAGCAGGACCTGGTCAACAACTGAGTTGAGAGCAATCGAGCTCAGACGGAGATCTGTGCTGAAGAAACATCCTTGCCTGTATAGACTCCCTGAACTGAAACCTGGGTCTGAATTCTGATTCATGACAATCTTTTACTGAAGACACAAGAATTCATCAAAAGAAAATTGCACCTTCGGTGAAAGAAAGTTGCCGTTCATAAGCTAATCGGAGCAACTATCCAATGAATGCTGACTGAAACCAAGCTGGAGAGAGAGAAGGAAGGATTGTCCAATAACTAGGGATGCTCATCACACAAAATACAGAAATGTATTTTGCTTTCTTGGAATAACAAAGCATTCAGTTACACTTTTTTAAAAAAGAGGTTCACTTATGACCATAGAAAATGCCCTCCAAAAAAAATCAGAAACAAAAGAGATCCCCAAATTAGTTTTTCAGGTAGAGTTTATACATTCTGTCTTGTCTGTCTTTCTTGCCTTGCACTCTGCTCCAGTGATCTGTAACCGTGTCTCTTTGCAGGGATTTAATGCTGTTTGAATCTTGTCATTACATGCTTTTGGAAGACTAAACTAAATGTGAGGATTATAGTTAAATTTACCATCCATCCCTCTCTCTTGTTGATACACTACTAACCAATAATGTTAGTATTGATAGTGTTATCAATAGTACTAACAGTACTAACAATACTGTTAGTACTGATTTTACCAATCAGTAAAAACAAACAAAAAAAAAAAACAGAGTTTACACATCAAAGCGATTTACAATATGGGGGGGCGGGGGCGATAATAAAAGTTGTGATCTCTCTCTCTCTCATTCATATATATATATATATATATATATATATATGCATACTGAAAATGTTTTTTAATCTACTTTTCACTCTATAAAGGCACTCTGTAAGGATGTCCACTTTCCTTTTTGATTTTTGTCTAGAACCTTAATTTGTGCTACTAGACTAAGATTAAAATGTCCATGGATTTTTGCTATTTTTCAATTAGCATTACTGATATTTTATTGTTTATCTCTGAAACTTAACCTCTATTCTACCTTTGATGCACCTGACTGTCTTCAGCCAAACTGTGAGATACACTGTAAAAATAGACCTACACTGGAACTGATGACAGTGGGTAACGATCTTTTTTGATATGTTACTGTGACACATTCTACATGGGGCTGCCCTTGAAGAGCATTCGGGAAGTTTAACTCATGTAAAACTGATGTCGACAAGGGTAATAAAAGATCCTGGCTACACGGCACATGTAACACCACTGCTCTGTGAGCTGCACTGGCTGCTGGTGTGTTTCCAGGTGCAATTCAAGGTGCTGGTTGCCACCTTTAAAGCCTTACATGGCTTGGGACTGGGTTATCTGAAGGACTGTCTTTTCCAAGAGTTTCTACCCATCCGATCTGATCCAACACATTGGGCATGCTGCAGATTACATCAGCCAAAAGTGTCTAATGAGGAACTAGAAGATGGACTTTGTACAACACTGTACAACACTGTAATTGTACAACACTATACAATAGCCACGATGGCGCATCGATTAGAATGCAATCTTGCAGGTTAACTCTGCACACAACCAGTTCAACCCTGACTGGCTCAAGGTTGACTCAGCCTTCCATCCATCTGAGTTCGGTAAAATGCGGAGCCAGATTATTGGAGGCAATATTCTGGCATTTGTAAATGGCTCTGAGAGTGCTGTAAAGCACTATAGAACAGTGTACAAGTCTAAGTGCTATTGCTAAGCTACCACTTTTGGCTTATTTGGCCTGCTCCTTGCTGTAGCTTTAGAAAGTTATACAAAGATGCCTGTCTTGACAGGAATTTGGGCACTAGTGATGGTGAGAGATTGCTTTTTTATTGGGGAGGGTTTTCATTGTGGTTGGGGTAGATCTGATTTATGAGGTTCTGGTTTTATGGGGAGTGACAGGATATTTGGATTTTATGTAACGCATGATACTGTGAGCCATCTGTGTCATTGTGATTGAGTGATATAAATCTAAGTAATATATGAATCAAACAAACTGCAGCAGGAAAGGTTTTAGTTCATCTCCCCATAATGTCTTCTTTTCACGTAAGCTATACTCTTTAGAGGTAGTTTGGCATGATCAAAATATAATAGCCTCTATATCATCATTTTTTGCCCTAAAAACAGAAATCTTCAATTTACATTAAATGTTAGGCATCTGTACTTCTCTTGGATTCCTTCCGACTCTCTCTCCTTCTCCATTCCTCAGCTGGTTTTGATGGTGGTTTGAATTTCACCAGCAGAATTATAAAATTGGATACAACATGAATACATATGAAGTTTAAGTCTTTCCTCAGCCATGTAAACTCACTCAGCAACTTTGGATCAGTTGCTCTTTTTCAGCCCCTTGTCCAATTCAACACTATTATACTGATAATCCTCAATTTATGATAAATCACTTAATGACATTCAAATTATGACAGCCTCGGAAAAAAATACTTATGAGGCATCCCAAAGTTACAACTGTCATACTACCCATAGTCATGTGATTAGACTTCAGGTACTTGGCAATCACCTTGCGTTTATGACTTATTGCAGCATCCTGCAATCACATGATTACATTTTGAGACTTTTTTGGAATTTTCTCTAGGCTGCTCTGCTTGTGTTCTGATATCATCTGAAATCACATCATGTTATTAACAGAATTGATGATTGATAAATCACAATGGCTGGCATTGCACAACATACTTAACCAAAGTGAAATAGATCACATACAGTAACTGCGTACAATGTGTAAACCTGGCACAGATTTCTTGGCATGAATGGTATGTTTTGTGAGCAGAAAATCCAACAAAAATTTAAGTACCTCTATAATAAACAAGTACCGGAAAAGTATATCTTCACTGGAAACAGATCTCTGCATTATATAAATCGTTATTTATTATTTTTTTCCGACCTATCCAAGTCATAGGGATGGCACTGCACAATATATTTAGGCTATCCCTGACCCTGAATATTTTAAATCTAAGCTTCTCCTAAACACAGTAAGGACATTAACAAATTCTATGGCTGAAAATGTAGACTTCTTGATACTGCAGACTCCTTGGTAGTGTCACACAAAGGAACTTCGACAGCATTTTTCATGTTATTTTTTATCTCAGTTCTTTCAAAATATTTGCTCATTGATGGTAATGTATTTCATAATATAAAATGATTTTATTAAATTGGGTCTTTTAAAAAAAAAAAAGATAGGCACCATGCAAAATAAATTACAGAAGTCTAAAATATGTAGAGGACACCAGATTGGGAAAGACTCGCCTAGAATCCCTTGGGATATCATCATGCTTCCTGTACCAAGCACATAAGAACTAGCACTGTACTTTCAAACACAATATAATTTTGCCTACTCAGAATGATGCTCTTCAATCAAAGTGCTCAGATACTGACATAAAAAAGCCATAAATATCGTACCTTTCTAAATCAAAATCTTTCTAAGGAACCACAACTGGTGGCTGGACAGGTTAATAATGCAATCTTAAAGGAAAACAAATTTTGTGGGAAGCAACACCACATTGTACAGAATTCTATAAAATGAGTCAGGTTTGCATAGCACATACAACTTGCCCATCTTTTACTATACAAAATAATTTGCCTCTGTGAGCTACAACATGCTGGGAAGGCTCCAATTACTGCTGACATCTGCGTTTTCATCAGGCACTTCTCAAACATTTGCAAACCAACAGTTACTACCAAAGGGGCAGTTTCCAATATTAAATTTGGCATTTGTGTACAACAAATGGAAACTTTATATAATATTGCCATAAGATGCCTGCTTTTTAATATGGTCAAAAACAGTTGAAAAGGCAGATCTCTTAAATTGTGGATCTTCTCATGAATTTCAAATAATTTCTCCTCCAAAACTGCCACAGTCCATATCACTAACTACTGAAGAAAGTTTTACCTGAGTTGGGGCTGGAAAGTGAGGCTGTTGCCATGACTGGTTTGCGTTTCCTCTTGATGTCCCTTGAGCACGGTGGTCCCAGGTGTATATTAGTCTGCCTAAAGAATGAATAAACTGTACCAATTAGAAAAAGAAGCCAACAAGTATCACACTGATGGTCTTTTAACAGGAAATGCGTCAGCCAGATAATTTTTAATTAGCATTTACCCTGCACTATTTTTATAATATAAGAACAATTCTTTTTATTGATTGATCTAATTTATATCCTGGTTCTCTGCTGAGCAGTGAATGCAGCGAACAAAATTTTAAAAGCTTTTAAAAAATCAAATACATAGATGAAAGCTAACAATCTAATTATGTGTACGGAGATTCTCAGTCATCCAGGTAATTCAGCTCTCGAAGCTGAAGAAGCTTCTTGGATGAGAAGTGAAACATCATCAAATAAAAACAAGAAAGTCCAGTTGCCTCTTGAAAAAGCACCTTTGGGATAACAATCTAATAATGCTAACAGTATACAGTATAGTAAAACCCCGCAAAAGAAAGGGAACTTGACAGATATTCTACATTCCTGAGGGAGCAGGAACCAAAAGCAACCTTACAGGGAATGTTTTCCATAACACTCTTCCAAAGAGCAGAGATACTGTACATTTCCTATCCTATGAAAAAACAATTAATGATTTTTGTTAGAAAAGAAAACCGGATTGAATATTTATAGTTAAATTATCTGGCTTGGAAAATGTTCTTCCACATTTATGCTAAAGGTAACTTAAGGGGGGAAATGCATAAGCTCAAAGAATGAGAAGAGTTACATGTGTTTAACTAGAGATAAAGGGCTTCAGAAAGGAAAGAAGAAGAAATAGCCTTCACTAATCTATCTATTAGAATCAAACAATAAGTATATGATTGACAGAATTACAAAGTATTAGAAAAGACCAGACCCTTTCCTGATGCAATGGTCTGACCCAAAGGAACTGCTATAGGGCAACATCATAGGCTAATCCACAACAAATGCAGATTCAAAATTTTTGATAACGTTTACCGCACAATAATAAAGCAGCACATTCAAGCCCTTTTACTTCAAGAGACTGAAGTACCCATTGCCTTGTGTTACAGCTGTGCTCTCCGTTTTAAGCACATTGTACTCAATGCATATTTAGAGTGCAAATGAAACAGCTAGATAGAAATCAATTTGTTTCACAAGTGGCTCCCTTACTCCACATATTAAGTTCTGTGATGCAAAAGGCAATGTGCTGAAGTTTTTAATTATGCTCCTTTGTGGTAATATAGAAGCATCTGCCCTATATACCTTCACTGTTAAACCAGATAATTATTATTCATGCCTGGTTTAGTCCTGGCATCAAAAAATAAGACAGTACTATGAGTGATAGACATGTATATCCCTCTTAAACAAGACATTGATTTTGATGCAACTTATAGATTTATAGTAGTCCTATTAAAAGCAGTGGGGGAAAAATAATCATAAATTCAGCTAATCTACTTTAAATATGGTCATTCAATGCACGGTGTTTTGCCTCCTTTTTAGGTGGCAAAATGATACTAAGAAAGTCCTGGGAATATTAACATACAGTTACAACAATTATCAACAAAGGAAAGTGAAGTATAAATGTGGTAAGATGAGATAATGCTAAAAATATTTTGCTGAAACAAAAAAAAAGTAACTAGTTAAGTAAACATAGATACAGCAGGTTATAAATTTTGTAGCTATTTATTTATTTATTGTTTTATTTATGGCTAATAAATCAAGAGTCTATTGATCTCCGGCTTGGACTAACAATGTGTTCAATGTTTATTTCAAGCCTACATTGCACTACACAGAGAAACACAAGGCTTATTCCACTTCTGGCCTGCATCCCAAGTGTCCTCGGTATGACAGATTGTATCTCAAGTTTACAGTGTGGAAAATTAATGCACCGTCTCCAGCCTACACTCTCTTGCCTACTTTTGCTATCCTCAAAGTAATAACAGCAGCAATGGCTATTGACAACAAGTATAGTCTCAATTCAGATGTCCTGCTTTCAACTGTAAGGAAGGAGTCTTGATGTTTAGCAGAGGAAGAATACAATTAAGCTGTCAACTTCAAACCAAACCTGGGAGAAGCCATTTTGTTGGTTCTCAGTTGCTATATGGTATTGGGGGGGGGGGGGAATGCACTGCCAGACACAACACTGTTCTATCTCATGGGACCCAAAGTCTTCTCCACAGGTGTCGGATGAGATTGAAGAGGAGTGCCTAGGGAGCCTGCCAATGAACCTAATTGGACAATGTGACCTGTGACACTTGGGGAAGGGATCATTTACTATTTTAACTATATTGAAACCGCAGGAAATATTCAGAGTTGGTTTTACATTTAATCATGCCAATATGATATGCCCAACAAAGAAGTTATTTGAGAGAGATCTGAGTTTCAGAGTTCTGATTTGCTTGGGCTCGTCAGTCAGAACCTTGACAAAATCATTTCTATTAGATTTAAGCATATTTGGTCTATTAATAGAGGGGCTGAAGAGAAATGGAGATATCCACCACTGAACATATTCACTGTTCTGATAATTAACGACATTCTTATGCTACTCAAGAGAATTAGCACACTGCCAATTGCAGGAAAAACAAATAAAGCCCTAGCATTGGGCCAGAATATCAACATCTCTAAACAATAAGAATCATTTAGAAGTTATGTTTAGTTGCAAATACAGTACTCAGAATGATAATCACACAAAGTATTCCATTGGAAGCAAGAAATAAGTCCTTTCATAATGAAATATTGAACCTGAGCAACAATAAAAGTTTTCAAAAGATCCAAGATATACACCTTTTAAATCTACATACATACAAATGCATAGAAATGAAGGGTCTATAATTAACTCATAAGCAAAAAGCAGAATGTTAGACATTACAAAAATAATTCTTCCTTAATTTTCTACCAGAAAGCACCCAAAGCAGAATTGAAATATTTTAAATTTGAATTATATCAACTGTAGTAATGGAATTGTGTTAAAAAAAGGTGTAATACAGGATAACCAGTTGTCTTTTAAACAACTTATTCAGCTATCTTCGTGGAAAGGAACCATTAAGAAGAAATACTTCCTATCAAGGGTATTGGATTGACAGTATTCAGCTCAGCTATTGCTGTTGTACACATTGCATCCACAGCAGGCAGCATAAAAGATACCTTTTTAAAGCCTTGGGGTACTACCTGGGGCTATTTCTGATGCCTTCAAAGGTCAAAGTTAATAGTGAGAACAGAGCTCTTCTGCCTCTTTGAAATGACACCAGATAGCTGAAAAACCATCTCTGATCTGCACACTGCACATAGAAACCAGTGTTCATCCAATCAATTCAATAATCACATATCTGTATCGAGGAAATAGCTCATTATACAGCATGGACAAGTGCCCAGGTATAAAATTACATCTAATTCAAAAGCTTGTCTACTCCAGAATGGCAAATAAAATGCCTTAGTGAAACAAAAATTCCACCTTTTTCCTCTTGCCCCTTAATTCAGCCATATAAAACTAATAATCAAAATGTATGGGTAATTAATTAACAATTACCCATGTGATTAATTCCTTCCACCTTTGCAGCATGTATCATAGTACTACCATCTAAAAGACCTACCTGCAGGGACAAGTGAAGAATTTTTCTGAGTGGCTAAACAATTAATATCTTCCTTTAGACCAGAGACATTTTCCAGAGTACTGAAAAATACTTAATGTCTGACTCAGTACAAAAGTAATTTTCCCAGGGATTCATTTCATTGCCTACACTGACAGAGCCAAATGTTCCTATTATCTTCACCTACTGGGCATTCAACTGACCATCCAATGAGTCCAAAATTTTACTTTTCTCTGTTTTTTAGGTAAAGGATCTCAACAGGCACTGACACTGCTTGGGAATTTACCATTAAGCATGGTAATTTTTTTTTTAATTTATTACATTTATTAAGGCCATCTATCTCACAAAAAATTACTCTGGATGACCTATAAAAATTTATGAAAACAATGAATTTATAAAAACAATCATTATTAAAATTACAAAACAGTCATTATTTAAATATAAAAACCACATGGCCCAGGAGGGAGTGAACATCAGCCACAGTGAGGGAGCCATCTAAACATTTCACTGGTCCTTTGGGATTCCCATAGCCAGGTCTTAAGGGACATCCTGAACATTAACAAGGATGGCGCTAACCTCACTTCTCGTGAGTGTTGGCTCATTAGAGCTTTAGCAAAGAAGTCCCCAACCCCCTGGTCTGAGGACCGTCACCGGTCCGCAGCATGCCAGAAACTGGGCGGCGCAAACAAGCAAATCCCTATCTGTGGGATGCAGGCAGCATGTAAAACCACGCTCCCTCCAGTCCACAGAAAAACCTCTCTCCACGGAATAGGTCCCTGGTGCCCAAAGGTTGGGGGCCACTGCTTTAGCACACTATTTGTGTAAAGGAAAGCTGTAATCACTCTCAAAAGGGGGCATTCCATTATTAGACAATGCTCAGTATCATGGGGAGGAAAAAAAATCAAATCTGCTATCACAATGAGGTTCATATATTTCAAAACCAAAAAATAATGCACTGAGCAAAAGTGCTCAGTGCCAACTTCTTCATGTTTTCTACTCCAGAGCACAGTCAAAACAGAAGTTATGATAGGCAAGCATGATTAGTAAATGCTTTGTGCCCTTAAAGAGCAGCAATTACAGGCATGTGAAGAGAAGGAAAAGAAGCCCCTGAGTTGCTCTTCGTCACATACCTCCCGAGAGGCAGCAGGCCATTAAAATTCCATGATGTAGAATCAAAAACAGCCTGGGAACAGCCAGGAGGCAATACAGCAAATTAATATACCAACCATCTCCAGGGAAAGAGACAAAAAATGCAGAAAACTCTCTTCACGTTGGAAAATAAAATTATACTACTAATGATAACAGCCACCAAACACACAGACACAGAGTACTTCTAATGATGGGTGTGGAATTCCCAGTGCTGCTTCTAATGCTTTGAGAGAAGTCTCAACACATCACAGACAGAAATCTAGAAAAGAAATCTTGCTATAGTACAATTTATACAGTCTTTTAACTGCATCTTCCAAGGAAACCTCAACAAAGCCATCTCCTTGACACTAAAGAGCTCCTCCTTGCACACTTGTGGCCTCATATGCAACACTCTAGCTGGGGGCTCTGTTTAAATGAAGCAGTGGGTTACCAGGTAATCACTACGCTACCAAAATAAACTGAATCATAAACCATTTGAGAGGCAAAGAAAATATGGGCTATGATATACGGCTCCCTCCCTCCAGGATCTGCTTGACAGCAGTACTTCCAGTAATATAATACATCTGCAAAGGCAGACAGAACTAGCAAAAAATAAAATAAAAATGGCAGTCTAAAAAAATAGGGAAACAAATTGGTAAAATAGAGCGGGATAGAGAATTGCAACCAAAACTAACTGCGATTTCTGAAAATTATTTATTCACGTTTCTTTCATTTGGTGAAAGTGGAAAATCATTTACTTATTTAACTGAGAAAGACTATGCTAAATATAGTGTTATTAGGAGGAAAAACTGAATAATTTGTACTTTTGATTGAAAATTCAGATTCTTACAAGAGAGGTAAATAGAAATAGAATATAGTACATGAAGTGATGAGTAAGATGCAACAAATTTGGAGACTGAAATTTGGTTTATCTATTTTAATTAAGTAAACTAACTTGATATTCTTTCTTTTTCTAGCATCTTGATCTTTAGTCCCTTCAACTAATGCCTTAGAACTTGAATTCTTTTCACTTTTTCTTTGTTTCTTCTCACAAAATTCCTTTTTTAAAAATCCAATATAGGAAAATTGTCCAGGTCACTCTCTGGATTTCTTCTTTGTATATCCCTTTTAATCATTAAGACATCCGCAGGTTTCTTTTGTATATTCTGTGTAGTATCTTTTTCCATGTCATTCTTGTAGTCTGCCATTTTTAAATCCACTTTCAAATCAGTCTTAAGCTTGTCAGATAAAAGTTGTTCCTCTTTCATAACAAACTTTAAGTATAATCTATCTATATCTTAAAATTAATTTCTGGGTCCAATGTTCAAAAATATCCTACAATATGTCCAAAGTTAAAATATTTTGCTTCATACTGTATTTGTAAGTCAAATTTAAGTGATATTCTCATTTGTTTTTTATTTTTAGTTGCTTCTAGTGTCCAATTTTAAAAGTCTAATCTCATGTGTTTTTTTTAATTCAAAACAAAGGCATTTTCCCACAGGAAAGATTCCTATAATCAATTCCCAAATCTTTTTTTTTTCTTCAAATTTATTTGGAGCCTTATTCCATTTGTAACTTTCTAAAAACAAAGTTTTAATCACCCCTTTGCTGTTTATTAAATAAATAAAAAAAACCTAAGTCCATATATTTAAAACTTATTTTCCTAAGGAGAAAACTCACCCAGCAGTGACAAGCTTGTCAATCCAAATAAGTGAAATAAGTTCCTAATAAGTGAAAAGCAGGTAACAAGTAATTTCTAAAAGTGATTAGAAAAGGAGAAATATGAAACTAGTGTCTTTTTAACGGTGCCAACTGTGTTTTGAACTAGATGGCTATTTCCTCATCTCGCAGATTTCTAAACTGGCCAGGCACTGCTGTCTTGCAGTCTCGTCATGAGCAGCAACTGTCTGGAGTACTTCTGGGTGATGTCAAGTCCTCTCCTTGTCTGAAAAGGAATTATGAAGAGCCGTCTACTTGCTGGCTTTTCATGCCATATGATCATCAGCTCCACTTTTCATGGAGCCATTTTTTTTCTGCCATTTCTTCCCAAAAAGTCATACTGTAGGCCTTATAAATTAAAACAGCTAAACTAATTCTTGAATCTTATTGCTTGTTCCCTGTCCCTTGATTTTTGTAACATCTTGTCAACTGAACAGTTCTTTAAAACTGTACGCATTTTGATCAAATAATGATTATAAATATTTGGTTGGTCCTAATAAAGGTACATCCCATGGTGTTTTCTCCCCATAGAGCAGGGGTGTCAAACACGTGGCCCACGGGCCAGATTGGCCTGCAATAGGCCCAAGTTGTCCCACAGGACTGTCCCAGAGATGGCGAGGGACCGTCCCATGCCATCCCAGCTCCATCCCACCTCTGCCCATCCAGTCGGCCACGATAACTAGACCATGACCACCCCGGCCCCCCAAGAGCAAACTAAATCCTGATACGGCCCGTGATGGGATAGAGTTTGACACTCCTGCCATAAAAGTAATGGCTATGAATATGATTGTGTTTCATTAAAATGAGTACTTTTAATGCTTTCTTATACAAAGCTCTTTTACTTTTATTTTTGTTAATCCTGTATTTACTTTCATGATTATTATTCATCTTGGATAGCCATCCAAGATTCTCTTTAGAAATGGTAGAAATGAAATTTTGGACAAATATACTGTATGTTTTCAGATTTATATGTTCCAAAACTAAAAAAAAAAAGTATCATTCTATGTAAAGCATGTGATTACCTGGCTGAGCAGCGTGCTGGTGAGCATCTTCGATGTGAAGCATCAGCAAGAACATCCAAGGAATACAGTGGAGATAATGGGCTGAACTATAAATTTAAAACACAGGCAGTTAATAACATTCCAAGTTATATTATCTGAAAAAAGATGCTTGAATTCAATCCTACACAGCGTATGACCATTTATGGTATCATCCAGTATAGGGAACTCTGAGACAATCCCACATCTACCAATTGTATGTCTAATATACCAGCCCAAATTGAGAACCAGTTGAGAACCAAATGTAACGGGGTGAGTTCCCGTTACTTGTCCCAGCTTCTGCCAATCTAGCAGTTCAAAAGCACGTAAAAAAATGCAAGTAGAAAAATAGGGACCATCTTTGGTGGGAAGGTAATAGCATTCTGTGCACCTTTGGCGTTTAGTCATGCCGGCCACATGACCACGGAGACGTCTTCGGACAGCACTGGCTCTTCGGCTTTGAAACGAAGATGAGCACTGCCCCTTAGAGTTGAGAATGACTAGCACATATGTGCGAGGGGAACCTTTACCTTTATTATGAACCCTGACAGCTTGGAAACTGTCATAAATGCCTCTTTAATATTACAAACAGACAACTGACATAGTGACATAATGTAACAGCAGAAGCTGTTATTAAGAATGACATAAGGAACAGAATGTATTAGCTTTACCAGCAGAATAAATTATTTATCAGAAACAATTAAAAAGACATACTCTATTTATTATTCATTTATTGTATATGAGCTATTGGAATACCAAAATTTATTCACAGATAAGATTTTCTTCTTGAACACAAGGCAGTGACTGAAGTTCTTTTAAAAGCTGTGAGCTGTTCAAACATTAAGCAAAGTAAGTGGCACAGCCCTCCTTAGAGAAGAGTCAATAGAGTAGCATATTCTTGTATGTTAAAAACTTTTCTCTGTGTGTATATTAGAAGCAGATTACCTTAGATATTTCTATTTGATAAGTCAAATTTGCATATTCATTTGGAGATTTCAAGATGGGAAATCATTCAAATATGCAATTCCCAACTGCCTTACTTAATTTTTAGATCAACTCAATCTTCAGAAATGCTTTCTGACAAAAGACAGTGATGAAAAACATAAACTGCAATAGAACAAGATCATATTCCAAACTCCATCTTCATTAGTCCTGCAAATGTTAATGTTAATGCCTTTTTCTATCTCTTTCCTATTTAATTCTGTCAACATTTAACTTCTCTCCACAAAAAAAAAAAACCAACATTTTAACTTTGAAGACAACATTCTTCAGTTATTACAAGATCTTTCTACCAAGGAAGCATAAATTGTAACAAAAACAACTACAAAACTAAATGCTCAAGCCTACTATAATTAAATAATCCCATTAAATTAATTTGATCACAGATTCTAATATCCAAACATATGGTAAAGAGGACAATCCCTCAGATTCATAAAGGAACTCTCCTTTCCTTTGCATCTGTCTGTCTCTCTGTCTAGAAAGTACAAATTCACCCAAAAAAGGTCTGATAGTAGTAGCTGACTTTCAACAGTCCTAGGTATGTAAAACAAAAGTGAGTTCAGAAAAAGAGTGGTTGGTGAAATTTTAATATTATTTAGAGTGAAACAAAACAGGTTGGTACTGAACAGGGACAAGCACGGTTGATGCAAGAGCCTTGGTACTACAGTGGTTTAAAGCACCCTGTTATTAACACAGCTGCCTGCAATTTACTGCTGGTTCGAATCTCTCCAAGGCTCAAGGTTGACTCAGCCTTCCATCCTTTCTAAGGTAGGTTAAATGAGGACCCAGTTTGTGGGGGCAATAAGCTGACTTTGTATAAAATATACAAAAGTATGAAGGCTATTGCTTAGCGCACTGTAAGCCGCCCTGAGTCTCCGGAGAAGGGCGGCATATAAATCAAATTAAAAAATAAAATAAAAAAAAAACTGAAACTGAGACCTGCTTTTCCATTAAAAGATGAAATATGATTTCATTTTATTAGCATAAGTGGTACACACTTAGAAATTAAACACTTACACAGGCATAATTTTGTTGAGATTTCAACATCAGTGGGCATTAATGTAAACACTATATATTTATAAAACAATATCATAACTAAAATTCCCGTTTCTCTGCTTCACAATTGTATGTAAGTAAGTATTAGCGTGATTGAAAATGTAGCTATAAAATATGGGAAGAGAGTGAAATATTAGGAGACTGCATAGAGACTGAAAAGTCATAAATACAGAAGAATTGACAGAAACATGCAAATAACATATGCAACTACAAAGAAAATTGTAGAAAGCTAACATTCTGGGGTTCTATTTGGTACAAGGAGCCATAGTGGTCTGCTGGACCAAAAAATGGGGCTGCCTTACCTCGTGGACCCAGGCTGCAATGTGGAAGAAATTGGAAGCCAGCACTTTGTTCTTTCTAGAGAGATAGAAATCAAATGAGAGAATATACAAAGTAGAGCCAGCTTACCTGGTTGCGATCTCTCATTCCCATTGATGGCAACCAGAAACTAGAGAGAGATGGTAGGAGAGATGAAGTTGAACGGAGCAGGAGAATAGAGTTGGAAGAAATGAGGAAACAAAAAAAAAATGGATGCATAAAGAAGAAGAGAAAAAGATTAAACATCCATGTTAGGCAGATTTGCTAAAGCTAGTTATAAGTCAATAGGAATTAATCTAAATATTAATGGAAGACAGAAAATTCAATCCAATGGAGCACATCCACAGGAAGCCACATTATCTTTAACACTCACCCAAGATGGGGGCATTAGGGTATTACAAATACCCTGATTTCCTTTTAGAAAGAGAAATTTCAGTATATCACCCATCAAAAATATATGATTAGGATGGTCTAAAGCCAGGAAAATATAATTTCAAAAATGGTGAAATTTTTACTACAAAGGTATCCTTTCTATTACAACTGTGGCTATACTATTTAGCATTGACATCCCTTTGGTTTGTTTGTGTTGGGATTTTGTGTTTTTTATATATGCGCATTTAAAAAGGCTAAAGTATATGATTCAACTAATGGGGAGTAGTCCAATAGCCATTATTAAAAGGGGGGGGAACAGGAATACCATGTCAATATAGAAGGGGAAATACATGATCACTTCTTCAAGTGGCAGCTCCCTATTATTTGTTTAAATTTTGAGACTGCCTGATTTCGCAACAACTCTGGGTAGCTTACTAATGAAAAGAAAACAGCATATATCTAAGAAAAAGAATCTAACTGATTAGAAGACAGAATCAAAAACCAAAGGGACTCAACCACATCTTAATCCTAGGCCTGGGAGGACAATCAGGTCTTTAAGAACCTGCAGAAAAGCTAAAGGTTTAGAATTGTTTGGATATCTGGGGGGATGTCATAGGATAACAGGAGCTATCGCCAAGAAGGTACACCTCCTAGGTCCTGCAACATGACACTGCTTAATCAATAGGACCCAAAATGTAGCCTCACTAGCTGATCTCACTGAACAGGCTGGAGACAAGTGGTCCCTCAAGGAGCCAGATCATATGACATGAAAAGGCAATAACCAGCATCTTGAATTGCCCACTGACAGCCAGTGCAGCTTAAAAGCAACAGGGACACGTGTGTGCACCGTTAACACACATTACTACATTCCACTGCACTGCTATCTGGGTCATTTTAGCTTCTGAGAGGTTTTCAAGGACAGTCTCATGTACCACACATTACAGTGGCCCAATCAAGAGTAAACAAGATACAAGTGGCTGTCTGAAGGGCTTCCTGGAAGAACTTATGTAAAGGCCTTCTTGGCTACGGTTGCCACCTTCTTTTTGAACAGGAATGAGTCCAAACAAATTAGGGTGGGTGGGTAGTCAAACAAACACAGCCATTGTTTGCTGAAATATGCTGAAACAATATCCTTCAGCAATCCTATAAAGTGAAAAACAAATCTAATTCTTTATTATGAGAAGAAGCACCCATAGGATCTGATGCTTTCACATATTCAGGCAGTGCTATGATATACATATGAAGGGTTGGAGCTTGCAGTGTGCTACTGCATTCATCATTTGCCCTCCTTCCCCAACACTCCCTATGGATGCCTCCATGGACAGACTTTCATATTTGATCTATGACACACATTATAGTAAACTTAAACTAATGAATATTTGTTTTCTGCCCAACCCCAAAGTTCTAGATCTTTATCTACTGTGCCCAGATGCTTACTCTTTTTGGCAGGAATCACCAATGATGTGGCTAATCCTCTCAGTACCCATTGCATTCATGATGGTCTCCTGAAACACAAAGTAAGAGGGGGAAAGACTAAGGCTAAAACTACACTGACTCATTTACTGAAACCTAAGTCAGCCTCAACTAACTACAAGTAGAGTAGGGTAGAAGTGCTGTTTTGATCCAAAAAGAGCATGCAAGACTTCTTGGGCAGCGAAGAAGAAAAGGAGAGAGGAAGGAAAAGGGTGTATTAAATGGTATAGTCTTTTGTGGGATAGAAAACCATTTTCAGATTTTTCAATATCAGAGCACAGTTTCAAAATGGCTGCCACAAAAATGGCATTAATGATATAAAACAATTGCCACAATTATGTGGACATTTTTAAAACTGAATTCAATTAACACAATAACATCGTTGTTTCCCTCCAATTCAATTCCACAAAAAAACCCTACATACATAGCAAAAATAAAGTTCTATGATTCCTTTCTGGGAAGAAAACAAAGGCCATAAGGTTTGCTTCAGCACCACCCACCTCCAGGGAGGAATAGCAAAACTGCCACATATTAAAATGAGGCAACAGCAGTAGCAAGAATGAAGGTCCGAGAGTAGAAGAGCTACAAATGCTGTACCTTCCTCTGTCAGGCCCCACAAAGCTGGCAAACTCAAGAAACAAGAACCACTTGGTTTCTGGAAAGATCAATGTTGCTAACAGGGTGATATAACAGAATCATGAAAGCCTACTAGAAAAATTATCCTGCTCAAATTATACCTAGCATAAGTAAAGCACAGTTGCTTTGTGTCTCTTTCTTAAGCTTCTCCACTCTTGAGGTGTCTTTTTTTGCAATTCCTCCTTCACTTCCCAAGGTCTATTGGACATTCCATCACATTTTCCTCTAAACATATGTGCTACGTTGGCCTGCAAATTGAGGCTGCAGTCATAAAGGATAGTTTTAAGATACTGTTTACTTCCTGAGCCAAAGAAAGTAATGGTAATTTAGGGAAGGAAAATGTAATTTAAAATAGTATTTAGCTATAGTAATTTTTTAGAGTTTTAGGAAGAGGGACAATCATGAGGTACTTCAGAAGAAAACTGCTAGCACCCATATTACTGAGTATATTACGTAACATATTTCAAGCAAGATCTAATACAAAATTGGATGTAACAAGAAGCGAGGTTCAAAATGCAAACTGCATTCATCCATGTGTCCTCTTCCATATAACATGGCCTTCAATCCTCACATTAAATTGTGATGGTGGTTGGCTCAATTTTATCCTCTCTTGGTTGCTTTTATTTGATTTCTGCTTTGAGAATGGAATCAGAATGGATCGCAAAATGATCCCTTCCTACTCTATGATTCTATATAGTTTGAATTTCAGACAGTCTTACTCCCCAAATCACAGTCTTCCTTTACAAACCAATTCTACGTTCATTTCTTACATGGTATGAAATCAACCTCTGAGAAATTAAAAGAATATAGTGAAACAATCTTACAAGTTAACTTTCATGCTCAATGGAATCATTTTACCTAAAGCAAACAGAGAGAGCCAGTTTGATGTAGTGATTAAGGTACTAGGCAAGAAACCAGGTTATCACAAGTTCTAGCCCTGCTTTGGGCTAATTACTCTTTCTTGGGAAGAAGGTGGCAATGGTAAACTAAAAAAATTTGCCAAGAAAGTTGTAGACAAACAACTAAAACAACTAAAAACATCACCAACAATACACTCACTGCTTTGTTTAAGTTTGATCAAGGAGCAACACCTTAGTGATATCAAAAAATTCAGAGATTGAATCCTGGTTAGTATTTAGATGAGAGATCACAGCAAATCCCCGGACTGAAGGTTAACTGGGAAGATGGGAAAAAGCAGAAAGCAGGAAAAAACACTTCTATATTCTGCCAAGAAAATTATGCAAACATATCTATATAGCCATCAAGATTCCAGCTCCGCTCAATGGTGTCTTAGCTAATATTATTCTGCTTATAGGTAATAGTCCCAAGATAATAATAATGCCTCATCTTGAATCTGATTGACTTTGAGTGGTCTAAGAATAGGCAATCTCAAGACCACACAAAAAGCTCAACCGCAACCTGATTGAAAAATGCAGTCTATGAACTTTCTCCTGGAAGTTTGTACCATTGAGTTCAATGGAACTTACTTGAAAAATTGTATTACAATGCTGTATAATTATCTAGATTGCAAGGATAATATTCCCTACAAGGACTTAGTTTTCAACTTTGCTAAAAAAAACAGAATGAAACAACAAGCATTTTAGAATTTCCTCTTCTCAATCCATTTCCCTTTGAAATGTTCACTCCTGTGCTATTTCACACCTTCTGCCTTTGTTTGCCTCCTAATTCTCCCTCCCATAATTAGCAAGATGAGAATTATTTTTTGTATTTACATTCAATGGAGAGGAAGTAGTCCTTGAGCTGCTAGACCCATGATGGCGAACCTATGGCACGCGTGCTACAGGTGACACACGGAGCCATATCGGTGGGCATGCAAGCTCGGCTCTGGCATGCATGCGTGCGCTGGCCAGCTGATTTTCGGGCCTTCTGGTCCCACAGGAAATCGGCAAATGGACTGTTTCCGGCCTCCGGAGGGCCTTTGGGGGGGAGAGGCCGTTTTTGCCCTCCCCAGGCTCCTAGAAAGCCTCTGGAGCCTGGGGAGGGCAAAAAACAGGCCTACCGGGCCAACTGTGCCATCGCGTGCCAAAAGCAGGGGGAGCGCAGGGGGGTCACGCGTGCATATGCGGGGGGGTCAAGGCGCATAGAATTATGGGTGTGGGCACACGCATGCGTGACCCTCCCATGCTCCCCCCGCTTTTGGCACGCGATGGAAAAAAGGTTAGCCACCACTGTGCTAGACCATTCATTCAGCAACTGTTCAAATTTATGAGGATAACAGAACACCATAGCTGAAAGTGGTCTTGGAGGTCTTCTAGTCCATCTATGATGCTGAATGAATGGTGATTACAACCAGCTCTCATAGCGCTGGCAGTCCCACACCCCTGCCATTGCTATTTGTAGCCCACCCTGCCAGCTTCCTCAGAAAATCAAGGAAAGGTCGTGGGTCATTAGGATAAGCCTCTGCCACCCATGAACCTTCCTCCAGCCCCTCTGAGGTTGAGCTGCACTGGCCAATTGCAATCCTCATGACCTCTTCCCAATGTGCACACCTCCACATATTCTTCCTAACTCATGCTATACCCCCTCACACACACTTTCTGCACTGTACCTGTGCACTCCCTCACACTCTCCCTGACCCATGATTCTCACTCACACCCTCATCCCATCCCTGAGCCACACCGTACCCTCATGCACCTTCTGTGACCCTCCCCCATACAACTGCACATTGTATTGTCTTGTAATTCCTTCCTCTCAAAGCTCTCCATTTTACTGTGGGGAGGGGTCAAGATAAATGAGCAATTTCTATAAGCAATCTTTCCTGTGCATGATCTTTTTTGTCTTTCTCCCTCTCACAAGAAAAGATTTATTTATTTTTATTCTGCTTGTGTTATTTTTATAAATAACTCAAAGCAGTGAACATACTTCATACCCCTTCCTTTTTCTCTTTTCCCCACAATAACATCCCTCTAAGGTGAGTAGGGCTGAGAGAGAGTGACTGGCTCAAAGTCACCCAGCTTGCTTTCATGTCTAAGGTAGGACTTGCAGGCTCCTGGTTTACAGCCTGATGCAGATTGGAGAGACACACAATGAGGAATACACCAAGTTATTTGTTAGCATGTTCACAACTCCCAGCCCTGAAAACGTTTAGGGATGCTGATGCCACAGCATTTCTTTCTTGTAAAAGGAACAGAAAAACGGAGGATGTGTAACTGATGTGTAACTGATTGCAATCAAATGACTGAGTAATGTTGTGAAGGTCATACATGCAGATATTGGTCGCATAAAGTTATTTTTTTCAGCACCTAATTTATCCCAATCCTAATTCTGAGTTATCATTGAATGACGGAGACAATAAGAAAGGACTACCTATATTTTCTATTCCATTCAAGGAATCAAAATGGGAACATTTATGACAATTATTAGGCTATGGATTATATGAAAGTTAGGGGGAGAAGATAACCATTAACTATATACCTATAATTTTTATTCATCGTATTATTAAAGTACACAAAAATTGAACACATCATTTTAAATGGTATAATCTTCCTTCTAATTTTAGACCTAGTGTTAGAGACAAATTAAACCCTTCCTTCTTTAGTCATGTTCCAATGAAAATTACCCCTTTGTATCAGCCTTAGAGAAAGGATCCATTTGAACATGTTATCAAATAAAAAACTGATATAGATTCTAATGACGTATTTAGCATCATATTATTCCCCCAAGGAAATGATGAAAGTTCAAGAGCTTTGTTTGCATTTTTTTTTATCCTAATTTTGTTAATTACAATTAAGTATTTTGAGTTAACTGCAGAATTCTCATATGAAAGCTCATTAGCTTATTCTTAGCTATATAAATTACATAGCATACAGTAGTGTATCAAAGCTTAGGTCCAAGACTAAGAAACAAAATTACTTAAACAAATATCTCCTTTAATTGGAACATGATTCCTAGACAATTATCAGCCATTTCTGTTGCAAGGCTATTTTACTTTCAACAATTTCTTACAACCAACAATTCCATAAAAGTTTTTCTTTCAACTGAATCGGCCTTAAAGATATGTAATACCATACTTACAGCAATAGTTCTTAAAACTGGGGGTTAATTATTCCCAAAGTGGTAGTTTGTGCATATCCCGGAAATAATGGAGCAATTTGTAATTGCTTCTTTGAGTCTAGGATCCACTTTGGGACTGCCACTGCCAAAACCCTTATGTAAAACAATAGTTCGCATTTTTATGGGGGCAATGACATTATTCAAGACCAGGAAAAGGGGAAATTGGGTCAAACTATTTCAGAACCCTTGTGTAAGAAAACAAAGTAACATTTATATTCATATACTGTCGGGTATATCATTGTATATATTCATATGTGTTCTCTATAAATAAACTGCCTGAAAACTAGGATTTCATTATCAATAAAAATGTGTGTTGGTGTCCAGAAACACAAAACACCATCAAATGAAAGGCTTGTGTGAAGGCAACAGCGGGGATGAAAGATGAGCTATTTGTTACAGTAGAGAAATTATTAACTTAAACTGCCGTAATGTTTAAATTTACAGTTTATTACTGTGTAAATTACAAGCGATACTTTGGGTAATTAGCAGCTTGCTGGCAGGGAGCTTTGAATGAAACTCATTATTTATTATTACAATTTAGAAGAGAAGAGAGGAGGGGAAGCAGTGACCTCCACTGCGAATGACATAGATCCCTTTAAGGTGATGAAGATGAATTAAACAAGTAAATATTATTTTTCTCATTAGAGGAACCTTTAAAAAGCCTAGGACCCTAGGCCTTTACCAGTGGCCTAATAGCCCTTGCCCGAGACATAATATTCACTATAACTGAAAACATATTTGGACTCTTTAATTTGATAAGGTAAGTAGAGAGAAAGGGCTTGAAGAATTTGTTGAAGATGGAAGAAACATATTAAAATAAAGAAGCAGCCATTCACACATTAAGCTAATTAACTGATGAGTCAAACTTTTTTAATACATAAGATTTTTCTTTCTCGGCTCAAATGAAATTCCTAAAATAGCAATAGCACTTAGATTTATATATAGCCCACTCTAAGCGGTTTACAGAGTCAGCATGTTGCCCCCAACAATCTGGGTCTTCATTTTACCGACCTCGGAAGGATGGAAGGCTGAGTCAACCTTGAGCCGATGAGACTCAAACTGCCGAACTGCTGGCAGCTGACGGTCAGCAGAATTAGCCTGCAATACTGCACTCTAACCATTGCACCACCATGGCTCTTAAATAAACTGCACATAAAGTCTAACTACCTTTACACATGCTTGCACTTTACACATACAAATTAAGCTCCCAAAAAAACTTTCTGCTTAATATGTGGGAGATTGAGATTGCAGAATTCCACCTTCACACACAAAAGGATTCCAAGGATGGTAAGAAATGCTTGGATATATATATTTCATAAAAAATGAAATGACTTGCAGATGACAGGCACAATTCTCAGCATTTAAATCTACTGTAATACAAGAACCACACTAATATGTGGTTGACTCAGCCTTCCATCCTTCCGAGGTAGGAAAAATGAGGACCCGGTTTGTGGGGACAATAAGATGACTTTGTATAAAAAAGAACACCGCTTGGGGGGCCGAAAGCCCTACTAAGCAGGTATATACAAAAGTATGAAGGCTATTGCTTAACGCATTGTAAGCCGCCCTGAGTCTTCAGAGAAGGGCGGCATATAAATCGAACCAACCAACCAACCAACCAACCAACCAATCAATAAATAAATAAATAAATAAATAAATAAATAAATAAATATGTCAATCAATATTTATTTCCTCCATCCTAGCTATCAAAATAGCTTTCCTCATCCCACGTACTGTACCTCTGCTTGGTATCAACATTCTTTCTTCTATTTACAGATATTTTTTTATACTGCACACATTCATATTTAGTCAGCCTCCTTTTCATAACAACATATTATTTTTCCAACAGAACCTTATTGCCATTTTTAAAAAATTATGAAAACATTTATACGTAACTAGAGTTTGTATATGAATACACAGTTGAAACTGTTAGAATGAACCACATGGCACATTTCACCAATTGGTATATTTCTTGACATTATGTGCTAAACAAATCATCATCCCCTATAAAGCAATACCTTGCTAACCAGCCTTCTACGGCCCTTCCTAAGACAGCGGGTAGCAACACTGGGAAGACGGTTCAAGCGAGGGTGAAATCCTGAAAAGAAAGAAGAGTATAATGAAGAAACGTGAAAAAAATACAAACAGAATCAGCTGGAATAAAGAACAAGAATCTAGATCAGCTTCTGATTTCCAGGTTCTGTTCTATGGAGCTTGTGCATATTACAAACTAAGGTAAGAATGCACTGTATATTGCTGTGCCTTCTTTTCACATGAGTGTGTTATAGAGTATAGGGCAGGGGTGTCACAGTGCCGGTCCGCGGGCTGGATATGTCACACGCACGCCCAGCCCACCACAGTTGCACGAAGGGGAAAAACGTCACGATACGTCACATGAGGGCAATGTGACACTGCAAGTTTGACACCTGTGGTATAGGGTCTATTTCACTGTTAAGCAAGCCAATTCCTTATGGTCAAAGAACTGAAATTAATTCAGGTATACAAAACAGAATCAGAACATATCGCTATTACATCAATTCATATGTATGCAAATTCATATTGGTTTCTCAGGTATGTACTATGATCCCTAGTTTCTACATTACACTATAATCCAAGCTACTATGTTATTATCACCTATATTCTGAAAGTTGCACATGCTTATCACATATCTGATTTGAGCTACAGTATATCCACAATGAAGGACATGGTGGCTCAGTGGCTAAGATGCTGAGCTTGTCGATCGAAAGGTCAGCAGTTCAGCGCTTCAAATCCCTAGTGCCGCGTAACGGAGTGAGCTCCCGTTATTTGTCCCAGCTTCTGCCAACCTAGCAGTTTGAAAGCACGTAAAAAATGCAAGTAGAAAAATAGGGACCACCTTTGATGGGAAGGTAACAGTGTTCCATGCACCTTTGGCGTTTAGGCATGCCGGCCACATGACCACGGAGAAGTCTTTGGACAGTGCTGGTTCTTCGGCTTTGAAACAGAGATAAGCACCGCCCCCTAGAGTCGGGAACAACTAGCACATATCTGCAAGAGGAACCTTTACCTTTATATCCACAATACGAAAGTATTAACATAAAGAATCTCACCTCTTGTAACAGGCCGAGAGGGCAGAAGGAATGTTGGCTCTGAGATTTTTTCAAGGCTCGAGTCCATTCGTTCCATATCAGATGGGCGGTCAGGTCCCCACTTGGGCAAAAGATTGGGAACTGTGAATCCTGAGACACATTCGCCCTCATAGAACCAATCACTCTGTTCATCATCACCTAGGAAGGAAATAAAAAGCTATTTAAATATATTCTTACTGTGAATCTCCTTATACACTAAAACGTCAGAACAACTAAACAGGCAAAATTTATGAAGCTGTCAGTAGAGGACAATTTAAAGGTAGTCACAACCTTTTTTTTTTTTTTTTAATCTTACAGGTTTGGACAGGCAAAGTCGTGTCAAAACTCACTCAGGGGTCTACCAGCTGCAGTATGCCCAGACAATCTGGGAGCACCTTTGACTTCTTTTAATGTAAAGAGACAAAGCTGGAAGGCTGTCAAATCTTATCCCGGCCTTTGCTATTTTGCCTACAGTTGCATTCCACAAATTTTGACATCTTTTGTGATATATCAATTAAAATGTAATTGTTAAAAACAGTAAATTTATTTCTTACCCAGACTTGACATCAATGAAATCATCAGATTTATTCCTAGAAAATTCACCCAAATTCATTAATCGTTTTGGAGGACTGGTTTATCACAAAGTTTGAGAACCACTCTTCTAAGATAAATCTATCCCTAAATTCATTGATGACAACAAAGTCTTAAATTATAATAATAGGTACTGCATCTTGATGTCTCTATAGTTATCTGTAGACATCTCCATCTCCGACTCAAATGAACCTGTAAGTATCCTTACATAACTCCTTGCCATTCTTAGAAGAGACAACATATTTAATAATATGTCAGTGCCTTTTTAGGCCATTTTAAATGTTTTTACATTATTACAGGAATGGTAAAGCTCGGAGGCTCCAACTGGTGCAGAATGCAGCCGCGCGGGTACTTATGGGGGCGACATGGCGCTCTCACGTGACACCTCTCCTGCGCGAGCTGCATTGGCTTCCAGTGGTCTTCCGGGTGCGCTTCAAGGTACTGGTTCTCATCTTCAAAGCGCTCCATGGCTTAGGGTCCGGTTATTTACGAGACCACCTTCTGCCACCGATAACCACCCACCGGCCAATACGCTCCCACAGAGAGGGCCTCCTCAGGGTGCCGTCGGTCAGGCAATGTCGGCTGGCGACCCCCCGGGGAAGAGCCTTCTCTGTGGGGGCACCCGCCCTGTGGAATGAGCTACCCCCAGGGATACAACTGATCCCGGACCTCCGGACCTTCCGCCGGGCCCTGAGGACTTTTTTATTTCAGCAAGCCGGGCTGGGTTAAAAAATTTTAATTGGTGAATTTTATGGGTAAGGGGTTTTAAATTGGGGGAAGCCAAAGATAAATTTAATTTTGTTTTATAGTATTTTAATGTTTATATTGTATGTTTTTTAATTTTGGCTGTTCACCGCCCCGAGTCCTTCGGGAGAGGGGGCGGTATAAAAATTTAAAAAATAAATAAATAAATAAATAAATACAAACCCTCCCCCCGCCACCCCCCGATATTACTGAAGTGCAACTCAAAGCAACCCTCGTCATTTTAGTTGGGTCTGTTGAGCCTTATAGTTCAGCAAAATATAATGGCCACAACATGTTTATCTTTGCTCTAATAAATGGCATGGGATGTAAAACCGAGACAGCCTTGCCACAAGTGATCACTGAAATCCGCATTATTTTTTAAGGCATTTTGTTATAGCGCCACAACACAGACCAAAAAACACAGTTTTATACCATCTGGCAGGTATGCAACTGCTAGAACAGCAGAAGAATTGCAACAAGCAAAAAAAAAAAAAAAAAAAAAACCCAAAACTCCAAAGCCTACAGAGCAATCAGGGATGACTTGTTACAGCTCAAGGAAGAATCAGAATTCAGCCTCAAAATAATACTTTAAATTTTCCTTCTTTTCTTCTTCTCCTACACAGATTGACCACAATTACCTGTGCCTGATATCAATTTCATTTTAACGTAAGCCAATTAGTGTACATATAAAGCGACAATAAAGTTATTTTAAGCCTAAATCTGATTTATCATTCAAAGCATTAAATTATAGAAGAAATAGAGACATGACCTATTCTTACCTTGGCGACCTTCATCATTGGTGAAAAGGCCAGTGTCACTGCTGCTGCAAACACTGCTGGTTTCACTGGAAAGGGAAAACAAAGAATTAAGTATATATGCATTACATATATACTTTTTTCTAAGAATAAATCCTTCACTGCAAGGAAACTTCTCACAAACTTTCAGCACAACAAATAATAGTGGTATTGCTTTATTCATCTCAACAACTTGATTAATCCTGACATGGATGCCCCAAAAAACTGGATGGGTGAATATAAAATATATGGAATGAAAAATAAATTAGGAAAATATGCAATAATCTAAAAAAAAGAGACTAAGGGAAAAATACATGAATTACCGGTAATATCATTGATTTTTACACATAGTCCTTGACTTATGACTAGAGCTAGGAAACGAATTTCTATCACTAAGGAATACGGCCATAAAATTCAATGTCATGCTGTTGTGTTGCTTAGCAACTGCAATTCCAGCAATCCCAGTTGGGGTTATAACTCAGGACATGCAGGTAAGCGGAAAGGGGAGGGAATCCCAGCTGCAACACAGCACCAATTTCTGGGAGGCCAGAGACCACATGGGCACTGCAATGGCCATAACTTCAAGGACTGATCATAAGTCCCTTTGTTCGGCATCAGCATAGCTTTGAATAGTCACTGAATGGATAGTCATAAACTGAGGACTACCTGTATACATTGTACATGGTTAGAAAGCAGAAATGCACTGGTTTCCAGACTTGTCCCCTCTCCTAGCACAACAGTACAATCGTCTGGAAAATAAAATGTTAAAAGCACTGCAGTCTGCTATCTCTCCCATATTAAAAGAAATCTCCAAAATAGATTAAGTTGCCGGTAAAGTAATTTTGCAGAGAAAAGGGACACCCTACATATATATTAGCAGAGAAAAACACAGAGGAAATAGAGAAGAGATAGGAAAACCAGCATGTAAAGACATCAAATGAAAACATCAAGAGCTACTCTTCAGGGTGCTATGTGCTCATATATGACATCTGATGTAATATTTGTATACTCGCCTCCTGCTCTCAAAGGCTAAATGTAAAGGTAAAGATTTCCCCTGTCCAGTCATATCCGACTTTAAGGCACAGTGCTCATCTCTGTTTCTTGGCTGAGGGAGCCAGCGTTCTCTGAAGACATTTTCCATGGTCATATGGCCAGCATGGAATGCTGTTATCTTCCCACCAAAGTAGTACCTATTTATCTACTCACATTTGCATGCTTTCAAACTGGTAGGTGGATAGGACCCTCAAAGGCTAGGTCACACAAAATGAAGGTTTAGTTCAACATAGAAATCCCCAACTTAAGGACAAGTTCTATTCCTAACTCTTTGTTTAACCCAAATTTGTACGTAAGTCAGAACTTAAAGGCTTTCAGGGACTGATGAAAACAGACCGCACATTAAACAAATGCACAGCTTCAACAGTTTGTCAGTTCAAACAAGAAGAATGCAGTCTCCACTTTTAGTAAGAGGCAGTACGTTCTTATCTAAGGGTTGTCCTTAAATCAGACATTTTAAACCCAGAGACTGCCTTCATTAAAAATATAAGGAACAGCATATTTAAAGGAGAATCAATATTGCAGAGAATGATGCCAAGCAGGAAGCCTGGGTGAGAAAAGATTGCCACATAACAGAATAAAGCAGGTATAAAAATAGCCTTCAAGTGAGCATTCTAGCGATACAGCAAAGCTGCTGAACATCATCTCGCTGACTACAGCTCACCTGACATTAAAATTTTTATGAGGAGACAGAGGCGTAATGGAGAATATAAGGTTTAGCCAATCATATGGGTGGATATAGAAAGAGAGGGCTGTTTCTAAGCTATTTAAAACTTTGGTGTTGCCTTCCAGAGCATCTGAAACAGGCAGTCTTTAGTGATTTTGGATTGGTGCCTGCGCCTTAGAGCCGTGATGGCGAATCTATGGCACGCATTCCAGAGGTGACACACAGTGTCCTCTCTGTGGGAACGTAAGCTGTCGCCCCAGTTCAGCTCCGCCTCACATGTGTGCGTGCCTCCCGCCAGCCAGCTGGTCTTTGGGTCTCTGCCGTGTATGTGTGGGGGGCGGGGACAATGCAGGGGGCAGGGCGTATACGGGGTCCTCATGCGCGGGGCCCACACACGCATTGCATTTTGGGGGTTCGGGCACAGCGCGCTTTGGGCACTCGTTCCGGAAAATGTTTGCCATCACTGCGTTAGACTCATATTGACCCCTGACCACTGTCTGGACAAATCCCCACAGTTTTCTTGGCAAGATTTTTGAAGCAATTTGCCACTGCTTTCTTCCCAGGGCAAAAAGTAAGCAATGATTCTTTAAATTATTCAGCATTGTACAATGAACATATAAAGAACATATCTAAAAAATAATTGTAAGGAATAATCATATATCAGTATTATTAGTAGAAAATAACAGATATCTATTAGTGGAGTTAGAGAAAATGAGCACAACTGATTGTTGAATGATGACATGAGGCACACTGTACAAGCAAAGGCAACATTACAGATTTTCTCAATCTCACAATTATTTTGTTACTTTTATTAATTAAACTGCTTCAATTTAGTGTTTCTTAACTTTGGCAATGTTTAAGATGTGTGGACTTCAACTCCCATAATTCTCCAGCCAATTGAAGCCCACATTGTTTTAACAGCCAGACATCAGTTTTTTAACTAGAATAAAGGGACACAAAAAGCATACACTAATAAATAGGCGTTTTTAAAAATAATATTTGGGAGGAGGGGTAGAAAGCAAAATGATTTGCAGTATAACATTGTGCTTATATTACATGTGAATATCTTCTTCATTTATTTCACTAGAAAGGAAGGATAGATCTCCCTGGGTAACACATGCATCTCGAATCAACAGCCAGATCAACATTCCAAATACTTGGATAATCATTTCTCTACTAATTATTATGATTTGTGGTCAGCTTCATATTTTGTAAATAAAAACAAAGCAAGAAAATTAGGTGGCCTTGAATTTCTTTAAACAAAAGAACACACTCCAGCATTTCTTCTGTTTATATACTGTAGTTACAAATGCCAAGTGTATCTGACAATTATTTGAGGATCAGGTATGTATGATAGCATGTGATTTATATTTACTTATGTGGGGCATCTTTGTCAGTGCCATTAGAAAGACACTAAGAGATCCCATAATAATCAACTCCTGCAACCATCTGTATCTCAGAGTTAAATGGTTATGTTCAAAAATAAAAGCATAGGGTCTCCCTTTCATAATTACTGAAAAATACAAATATTAATAAGGATTGGAGACTTAACACTTATCATTTGCTCAGTATTTTCTTGTTAAAGAAACATTCATTGCAGCTTTAGAGAGCAAAGCCACAGAGTGCATTACAGGTAATCCTCGACTTACAACAGTTCATTTAGTGACTGTTCAAAGTTATACGGCAGTGAAAAAAAGTGACTCATGGACTGTTTTTCACAATTACAACCATTGCAGCATCCCCATAATCATGTGATTAAAATTCAGATGTTTGGCAGTTGGTTTATATTTATGACCTTTGCTCTGTCCCAAGATTCGGTAATCACCTTTTATGACCTTGGAGGGTAGAGCCGAGGACTTTGTACAGTATCTGCATGACAAAATCACTCAGATTCGGGAAGGTCTGGACTCCGACTGGGTAGTTTCAGGGGGGATGACTGAGGCAGGTCTTGAGAACGGTATCTGGGATGAGTTTGATCCTGTGACTCCTGATGACGTGGACAGGATTCTGGGTAGACTGAACGTGACCACATGTTTGTTGGACCCATGTCCCTCCTGGTTAGTGCTGGCTTCTCGGGAGGTGACACGAGGCTGGCTCCAGGGGATTATAAATGCTTCACTGAGTGAGGGTGACTTCCCCGCCGCCTTGAAAGAGGCGGTGGTGAGGCCTCTTCTCAAGAAGCCTTCCCTGGGCCTGGCAGTGTTGTCTAATTATCGTCCAGTCTCCAACCTTCGCTTTGTGGCAAAGGTTGTTGAGAGTGTGGTTGCGCGACAGCTCCCCCAGCACCTGGATGAAACGGTGTATATGGATCCGTTCCAGTCGGGCTTCAGGCCTGGTACAGCACGGAAACGGCATTGGTCGCATTGGTTGATGATCTCTGGAGGGCTCGGGACAGAGGTTGCTCCTCTGTCCTGGTCCTATTAGATCTCTCAGCGGCTTTGATACCATCGACCATGGTATCATGCTGCACCGGTTGGAAGAGTTAGGGGTGGGGGTCACTGTGTTGAGGTGGTTCTTCTCCTTTCTCTCTGACCAGTTGCAGTCTGTATTGGCAGGGGGGCAGAGGCCGACCCCGAGGCGCCTCCTATGTGGGGTGCCACAAGGGTCGGTCCTCTCGCCCCTTCTATTTAACATTTATATAAAGCTGCTGGGCGAGATCATCCGTGGTTTCGGGGTGAAGTACCATCAGTACGCTGATGATACTCAGCTGTACATCTCCACCCCGGACCACCCCAACGATGCCCTTGAAGTGATGGAGGCCGTGCGGATCTGGATGGGGAGAAACAGGCTCAGGCTCAACCCATCCAAGACCGAGTGGCTGTGGTTTCCAACGTCCCGATATAGTCAGTTGGTGCCATCACTGACTATTGGGGGCGAATCGCTGGCCCCCACAGAGAGGGCTCGCAACTTAGGCGTCCTCCTGGATTCACGGCTGTCTTTAGAAGAGCACTTGACGGCCGTGACCGGGAAGATTTTTCATCAGGTTCGCCTGATTCGACAGTTGCGTCCCTTTCTTGATCGGGACTCCTTACGCATGGTCACTCATGCCCTCGTCACTTCCCGCCTGGACTACTGCAACGCTCTCTACATGGGGCTCCCCTTGAGGAGCACACGGAGGCTCCAACTGGCGCAGAGTGCGGCTGCGCGGGTGGTTATGGGAGCGACATGGCATTCCCATGTAACACGTCTCCTACGCGAGCTGCACTGGCTCCCGGTGATCTTCCGTGTACGCTTCAAGGTCTTGGTTACCACCTTTAGAGCGCTCCATGGCTTAGGACCTAGTTATCTACGGGACAGCCTGCTGCCACCAGTAGCCTCCCACCGGCCGGT